TTAATAGGTCTAAGCCAATCCTATATAAAAAAAATTGAGAAAAAACCCTTTAAGAGAAAGTATTATAAAAAGTCTATTGATAAAGAATCATATTAAGAAAAATAAAAAATGAAAATATTATTTTTATTTTTTAATTATAATAATAAAATATAAAAGGTTAAACCGCTATTTTGGTCCCTGAACTATTATACGGACCCTCGATTTGGTCCCTAAACTAAAGAAATCTCTAATTTGGTCCTTGAACTATTGTATGAACCCCTGAATTGGTCCCTAAACTATTGTACGGACTCCCAAGTTAATCCCTAAACTATTGTATAAATGCATAATTTGGTCCCTACTGTTTACCAATTTAACCCCAACTTGACCCTTCTGTTAAATAATAATTCAAGGACCAAATTGGGGCGAAATTGTAAATAGTAAAGATCAAATTGAAGATTCGTACGATAGTTCAAAGACCAACTTAGGCCAAATTATAAACAATGGGGACCAAATCGAGGGTCCGTACAATAATTTAAGGACTAAATTAGGAATTTATTTAGTTTAGGGACCAAATCAATGGTCTGTATAATAGTTTAGGGACCAAAATAGACATTTAACCAATATAAAAATACATAAATAGGGATATAAAAAAGAAAGTTTAGGAAAAAAGTTTTATCCAACCAAAAACACCGTATGATTTCCACCCCTAAAGTCATATTGGACCCATGGCCCTTGTTTTATTTTCTTTTTAAATTCATGAAGCTTCATCTATTTACCCTTTTCATTTTTTGCTTTTTCTTGTAACACGAAAGAAAAAGTCCTGTGATGAATCATGATTCATGATAGCTCTATCTCTCTCTCTCTTTTTTGTTTTTTTGGTAGGACATGATTTTTTTTTTGGTAGAATTGGTAGGACATGATTGCTCTCTGTTACCGTGGAAATAATGTTGCAAAGTTCTATTGCTATTCCCGGTGCTTGTGCCTTCTCATCTTTGCCATCCAATTCTACTTTTCCGCTCCTCATATTGTGTTCCTTCACTTCGGGCTCTCTGAAACTAACCTCGCTTCTCGATCCATCCTCTTTGAAACTTCCTTTGTTCACAATTTCATTTCGTTTCGTTTCTCCCAAGTTGTTTTTTTTTCTGACCAATTAAAGAAACCTCGATGTCACCTCTGCTATTCTCACCATTTGATCCATTTGCTAGTGGATCATCTCTGTGAAGCTTCTACTTTTTTTTCACCACTTCATTTTGTTTCGTTTCTTCCAAATTGTTTTGCCCATCATTTCTGAAAATTTCTTGCCCAAAAAACGAAAAAAAAAAGAAAAAAACCCAGTTCCTTTCATATTCACTTTGATTCTGTCCAACCTCTTTATCTCACTTCTGCTATTCTCACCATCTCGTTCATTTGGTGGTTCTTTTCTTGTCTCTGTACTTCTGTTATCTGTGTATTGTTTTGTGTCTGTTTTCCAATATTCAAAAAAAAAAAAAAAAAAAGGAGGAAATGTCGGGCACCGAATGCTGTATTGATGTTGCTGGCAAAGTTGCAGAGAACCTGGTTGATCGAACTTTCAATGTAATCTGGAACAGAATAGCTCGTGTGTTCAAATGGAAGACTAATTTAAAGAATCTGGAGAAAGAAGTTCAGAAGCTGGTCACTGAAAGAGATAGTGTGCTGCAAGTTATGGAAGCTGCTGAGAGAAGAGGGGAAGAGCCTGTGCAGAAGGTCAAGATTTGGCTGACTAAAGCAAAGGAGTACATTGGAGAGATGGAGAAGTTAGAGGATGATGAAGACAAAGCCAAGAAGAAGTGTTTCCTAGGGGTCTGTCCTAATCCCAGGGCACGTTACCAAATCAGCAAGAAAGTGGAGGGGTATTTGGTGGATGTTACTGAACTCCTACAAGAAGCTCGCAATTTCAACTTCCCAGGTTTCTACTGTCCTCCAGCATCTACAGCGCCAGTTAATAAGGGTTTTGAGGACTTTGGGTCAAGAACGCCTTATTTGGACAGTATTATGGAGGCCTTGAGAAGTACTGGCACTGACAAGATAGGTGTTTATGGGATGCCTGGTGTTGGAAAGACCATGTTAGCCAAAGAAGTTGCCAGACGAGCTGAGGAAGCCGACTTATTTGATTCAGTTGTATTCGCTTCTGTGACAAGGGATCGAGACTTTAGAAGAATTCAAGGAGAAATTGCTGACAACTTAGATCTAGTGCTTAATAAGGAGACTGTAGTTGGGAGAGCAAGGCAACTAAAGGATTATCTGAAGAAAAAGAAGAGGATTCTTGTGATTTTAGATGACATCTGGTCGAGGCTAGATTTGGATGAACTTGGAATTCCTTTTGAAGAACAGATGCAATGCAAGATTCTCTACACATCTAGATTTCTCGATGTCTTATCACGTGACATGGATACTAATCAAAATTTTGATGTTCGCCCATTGGGAGATGATGAAGCACGGGAGCTTTTGAAGAAGATAGTTGGCGATGAGATTGAAAAGTCTGGCTTGCGGGATACAGCAATGGAGATTGCCAAAGAATGTGCTGGGCTCCCCCTCGCCATTCAAACTCTTGGCAAGGCTTTGAGAGGAAAGGATTCTTATGAATGGAGGAATGCTCTGCGACAACTGCAAACGCCCTCTCCAGAGAACTTCACGGGGATCTCTGCAAATGTTTATTCTGCAATTGAATTGAGTTACAACTACTTAGAAGGAGTAGAATTAAAGCAAACTTTCTTGCTTTGTAGTCTGTTCGGACAGAATGCTTATATAGAAGACTTGCTAACATATGGTATTGGCTTGGGCTTATTTCAGAATGTCAGCACAATAGGAGAAGCACGAGACAGACTACTAACACGGGTTAGAAATCTAAAATCTTGTTCTTTGCTGCTTGATGGGAATAGCGATACTCGCGTTAAATTGCATGATATTGTCTTTGATGTCGCCGTGGCCATTGCCTCAAAGGACCCTCATGTGTTGTCATTAATAGATGACAACGTACCCCAAAAGTGGTCAGATAGGGAGGCCATGGGAGATGTCAAATGGATTAGTATGCGACATGCTAATATTAGTGAGCTCCCTGATGAGCTGGAATGTCGGCAACTTACCTTATTCCATTTAGCTAGCAAGAATCCTTCTACGAAAATTCCAGACAATTTTTTCCGGGGAATGCCAAATCTCAGAGTCTTGAATTTTACCACGATGTATTTCTCATCCATGCCTTCATCAATTTGCCTTCTGAAAAACCTCCGTGCATTACGTATCAATGACAGTGCTATAAAAGAAATAGCTATTGTTGCAGAGCTGAGTGGTTTGGAAGTCCTTAGCCTTTCAAGAAGTGATATTGAAGAGTTGCCAACGGAAATTGGACATCTGACCCAACTAAAGTTTTTAGATTTGAATTATTGTACCAAGCTCAAAGTGATACGACCCCATGTCTTAGAGAGTTTGTCCAGGCTAGAAGAACTGTATCTGCGAAACAGCTTCAATCAATGGGGTGCTAACGGACTTGGAAATCAAAGAAATGCTAGCCTTGCTGAGTTGAAGAATTTGCATAACCTAGTTGCCTTAGATGTGGATGCATGTGATGTCCAAATTATTCCAGAAGACTTATTCTCTGAAAGGTTGAATAGATACAAGATATTCATTGGAAAGGTGTGGAACAGATGGGATTGTTCTTTCGGAGGCTCAAAAATATTGAAGCTGGAGTTGAATACAAGAATTACTCGTGACCATTCTATTTGCATGTTGTTAAAGAAAACAGAAGAACTACATGTTGAGAAACTGAAGGGTGTGAAGAATATAGTTCCTGAGTTAGATGTTGAAGATTTTCAGGAACTGAAGTATCTTTACGTTAAAAATGCTCCTGAGATTCAGCATATCATTAACTCAGTGGGGCAGATTCCTTGCCATGTATTTCCCTTCTTAGAAGTACTATTTCTTCGGGATTTGGATGATATGGTGAAGATTTGTCATGGCCATCTTGCAGAAACGTCTTTTAGAGGATTGAGAACTATAACCATTGAATATTGTAATCAGCTAGAGAGTTTGTTCCCGTTCTCCATAGCTAGACGACTTCTTCAACTTGAAGAAATTGGAGTAACAAATTGCTCTAGCATGTTAGAGATTGTTGATGAGGAAGGGCAAGTGACCACTAATGATATAGCTGAAGCAGATGAGAATTTTGAGTTTGCCCATCTACAGTTCTTGAAATTGCAGTATTTGCCAAAGTTCATTAGATTGTGCCATGGACTTGTGGAAGCAAATGATTCAAGGTCCATGCCTGTATCACTTTTCAATGAAAAGGTATATATAGTTTTTCTTTTATACAACATATATAGCACATAAACCCTAAATAGATTAATTAATAGGAACTTGAGATCTCTACTTGGCATTGTACTCTAGTGGCTGGGCTTGATTGTGTTATAAGTAAACAATTGGCCTTGTTTAGATAAAAATAAAAATGTGTGATTGAAAATTAAGTAAAACTAATTTTTTTTTTTGTAGGATTTGTTTTGAAACATACGTTTTTGGTTCATGGAAGAAAAAAAAAATGAAAATAAACAAAAATGATTTTTTTGGTTGTTTATAATGTGATTCTATTAAAAGTAAAGCAAATACAATTTATAGTGAGACACTAAATCATAAGCTCATTTTTTTTAAACTTCTAAAATCTTTCTTTTCCTGAATATCTTCCATGAAACAAGCATAACATTAAATTCCTATGGGTCAAAATCATTGCATGAGCTTCCAACCTTAAATCTTGATGTTTGCTTAGATGCCTTTAATTAGACATATATTTTGAATTATATTGGGACAAAGAATCATGTGATTGTTTTGCAGATTGTCTTTCCAAACCTCAAGAAGTTGGAGTTGTCCTCGCTGAACATTAAAAGTATATGGAGCAGTCAGCTTTCTGCAAAATCCTGCTGTATTCAGAGTCTGACGGATTTGATCATTGAGGGCTGTGATCATTTGAAACACCTATTGTCGTTCTCTA